AACAGAAGGTGTCGCCGATGCCCCGCGCACCTCAGTGCCCGCCACGCCCGCCGAACCCCCACCAGCGCCGCGTCCTCAACCGATAGACCCTTCCGCGCCTCTGCCGCGACCCCAACCTCAGCCGACAACGCAAACGCAGACTGTCGTGCCTCCTGCCGTACGGCAGTCATCAGTCACCATTGCCTCACCTGGCAAGCGACGGAACTCCCAAGACCCCGCCATCGCGCAAGCGAGCGCATCCGGCGCCGGCGAATCTTCGAGCGCGGCTAAGCGCCCCAAGCCAACAGCTGGGCCGGCCAAGGTACTGCCACTGCGGTATGAGCTGTGCGGTGTCGAGGATATGGTTGTTTTGATATCACACATGCTATCTGAACTCATCGAGACCAATGACGCCCTGGCTCTTCGCTCTGGCAGCCTGACTCGGTTCCACTCGAGGTAAGCAAAAAAAGGCGCTTCGTATCCTTTTGATATCTATGTATGCTTACTGATATGTTGCGCAGGACGACACCGAGCATTTCTGTACTTGACTACCTGAACAGACTAGCGAAACACGCGACACTGACACCGCCGCTGCTGCTGTCCATGGTCTACTACATTGATCGACTATGTGCCTTATATCCAGAATTCACCATCAATACGCTCACTGTACATCGCTTCCTGATTACGGCGGCCACAGTCGCGGCCAAGGGCTTATCGGACTTGTTCTGGAACAACACTACATATGCGCGAGTGGGAGGCGTTAGGGTCGCCGAACTCAAGCTGCTGGAACTAGAGTTTCTTTACAGGGTAGACTGGAAGATCGTCCCTAACCCCGAAGTACTCGTCGCATACTATCGGGGCCTAGTTGAACGCTGCCCCGGGTATGCTCTGCAGGATGAGGATGGGGTCGTCGAGGATGAAGACTCTGACGAGGTTGACGACGAGGATGGGTCAACCGAAATTTCAGATGGCGGCGGTGACGACAGTGGGGACTCGCCCGATGATGAGAGCCCCGCGAAGTCGCCGCCGCCCGACGCAGCAGGTGCGGCATCATAAGCTGCTTACGGATGTCGGGGGTTCTGATCTACAACATGAGGCGTGGTTTTCTTTGGTTGTTCTTTTAAAAAGGGGTGGGCAGCTGCCCTTAGAGGCATGGCAAAGTGGCGTTTGGACAGGCGGTATCATTTTAACGCTCAATGAGTGATAGCGGTAATGAAATACCACACTTTTCTGATTTCATATGAGAATGCTTGGGGCGTGTCGAATTCTTCAGATTGTGCATGGGACTGCTTTCTCGTGGTATTTCTTAATATACTCCCCGTGTCTTGGCCACAAATTCGATGCCGCCATCGGTCGTTCATCTAGGTGCTCATTTCTGTGCTGCGTTAGGTAGCGTAAATCTGCCGGACTAATCCCGCATCCGAAGCTGGGTCCCCCGGAACCTCTCCTCCAACAACCCCCGTCTCCTTCAATCAGCGCCCTCACCCAGGCCACCGAATCCGACGACTGAACGGGTGCAGAGAAACCGAAAAATCATGCGCGCGACATCGTTCCTGTCGGCGCTCTTCGCGGCGACCCTCGCCGCCGCAGCTGAGGCGCGCCTCGCCAAGATCTACGTCGAGCCAGTCTCTCTCGCCGCGAGCAAGTCGCCCTCCTTCCTCGCCGAGGTCGAATACGACGCAAAGCAACCCGCCGAGGCGACCGTCTCGTCTTTCGAGTTTCCCGAGCTGCCCGAGGACGGCGCGAAGCTCGTGCGCGTAGGCGTCTACGATACCGCGACGAAGCAATGGACGTCCTCCGTGTCGGTGGCCTCGACGGAGAACTTTGCCAAGGGGTACCAGCCCAACATCCTCCTGAGCGTGGACGCTGAGGGCAACGTGGTTGGAGCGGGCTTGAAGGGCGTCAGGATCGATGCGGGCGCGACGAGGGACTTCGGGCCGCAGGCTGTTGTTCGGGTTACGGGACAGGGCAAGACACCGGAGCTGAATAAGCCTGTTGTGCTGAGTCCTGAGGGAAGGAAGGTCGTCCAAGAGGAGAAGACCCTCTTTCAAAAGTATACCATTTCTCACAATCGGGTGTTCTTGAGCTTAAAGTTAACGTCGGCACAGGTACTGGTGGCTGATTGCGATCGTCGTCCTCATGACGGTCACGGGCGGCGGCGATGGAAAATAGACGACGATATAGAGGATGGCAGCATTGATGAATACCCATTAATTGATGTTTTATTACTGCATTAGACCGCAAGATCTGTTCAAGCGAAGCTGTGCTTAGGTGTCCCGGCTGTGTTCCCGATTCGAATCCGTAACCCCTTCTGTCACTGTAGAACTGGCTGACTTGACGCATCGGCGGGTGCAGAAGGTATTCTTCTTCCTAAGTCTAGCGGTGTACTCTTATCGGGAACCTTGGACCCAGAGCCCAGGCTATAGAGACTTGCGTGCACTAGATATGGAGATGCCTACAAGTCCAATTGCCAATGATTGAACAGAAAACAGAGCTTTAACCCTGTCTGATGCCGCATCTCATATCGGTCGCTCAGCCTGGAGCCTTCAGTTGACAGCCTACCGCAAGCCTTCTATCGCCTTCCGTCTTCCAGACAGCTCTGACAGGGACTGACACGGCACGTGTGGTATGGCTTTTGTGGCGCTAATCCTGCCCGGGACTAGCGCCGTTGCTAAGAGACATGCAAACCACTGCTAAAAGCTGGGACCTGCTGGGGAAGGTACGATCGAATTGATAAAATCCGCCGCCTACCTTACCTTGACCGGCGCAGCTTCACCTCCACTTTCCATCTACACCCACGCTATCCCACCCGATTCTTTCCACAACCGCAACACTTACGTTAGGTCAACGGCAATCGCCTTTTCGTCGCCTAAGCTTTACTTGACAATCTTCCCTCTCTAACACTTTCAAACAAACACAATGGCCACCGAGAACTCCGTCACCGACCCTACCACCGAGCTCGAGAACAAGGGCAAGGGCAAGGCCGTCGCCAGCGAGGAGCCCGTCGAGCAGAGCGAGGCCATGGACGAGGATGATGACTCTAGCGAAGAGGAGGAGGCTAACGAGGTACTTACTTCCCAATCCTCCCCCTCAGTGTTTGCGCGCAAGCTAACGTTAAAAAAAACAGACCGCTGAGCCTGGTAAGAGCTGATTACCGCGTCGCCTACAGCGCAAGACTCTTCCCACGACCACGACTAACGATTGGGTTTACAGTTGACGAGGACGATGGTATGGACGAGATCGACCTGAACAACATCGTTGAGGGTGGTCGCCGCACCCGTGGCCGTGTCATCGACTTCGCCAAGGCCGCCGAGGAGAACCCTGCCGACGACGAGGACGATGAGGAGGACGATGACTTCCAGGCGCCTGCTGACGACTCCAAGATGGAGGAGGACTAAGCGATTCCTCGCCACGCCTCGACTCGTCTTGCTTGCAGCCACCAACACACAAGGTGGCACGGTTACGGTTATGGAAACGAACAGCACATCAGAAAACGGAATGGGGGGTTATACAAAAGTTTTACGTGGGCTTAAGGGTTTCTCGCTTTTGATGACGGCGTGTCCGGTGATTGGACACATGCAGCAGGCAACGGTGGATGGATATTGCCCGTTTGGACGGCGTTTAGAGACGAGTTGGTCTGCTGTCTCGCCCGCCCAGGGGACCTTAGGTGGGATGGAATGTCTCTTATCCTACCTACGCTGCTCTGCCCGCGGGCGTCAATACCCCGACCATGAGTGCTATGGAAACGAATACATGCAAACACTGAACGGCCATGTGCGAAGTAGACGTGATCAGATCAACAGTGATGCTAGTAGTTAATGCTGGTGTGAAGGAGGTAGCCGGCGTTATGCGTTGATGCAGGCCCCAGTAGCCGCCCCTCGCAGCAGTTTTTTATTAGCTGTCCAACGGGGATTTATCCACATGAAAGCTGCCAGCTCGATCGCTGATTCATGCATGAAGCGACCTAGATCCGATCGAGGGACCAGCACTGCCTTGGCAAATGGCAAGTACGTAGTCACGTAGCTTTCCTTTCTGCGAATAATTCTGCAAGGCACCGCAAAGCAGACAGGACGAACCGATTCATCCTTTGCAGGTCGAGTTTGGCACAGCTGACGGGACGGACCATTAAGACGTATTTCTAAGCTCTAGGGTCGTCGGGACCCGACGAAACGCGGTGCGGCCACTGACTGCGCTAGAACCACTTCAACATCTTGGACGAGTGCTGCTGAATGTAGGTAGCGGGGGGAAGCTGGCTGGTGTCAGACGGCGTGCAATTTAGGGGACTTTACCACAGACGGCGGTTCAAGGAACCCGCCCGCCGCTTGCACGTTCTGGCCCTTCCGCCATCGTCTTTTAGGTTATTGTCACTGCTTTCGATTGGACAACGGGACGACACGTACAAGAGCCTGGAAAGCACTTAGGTTTTGCCTCCGAGAACAGGACCTCTCGCAGCAGGACAAATAGGTCGCATCCAAATTGACCACCTTACACGCCTGCTTATTTCTCCGTTCCCACGATGGTTTCTTACAACTGAACATACTTGAGCTACTCATCTCCCTCGTCGATCTCGACTCCACGACCCGGGCCATCTCTCGTCATATTTCCCCTTTCCCACACATTAGCTTGCCTTTCTCAACAGGGGTGTTGACGGACCAAGAGAAAAGCCAAAGACGTCAGTGGACAGGACTGCCGCTACGGAAGTCTTGCCAAATAAAATTAAAGATCGCCCAGCCGTCATAAACATACCCCGGCACGCACCGAAGCGACGACCCAGGCCGACCGGGCCCTTCGACCTAGCAACGACCACCTTTTTTTTCTTCGACGGCTGGAAGACGGGGCAAGGACTTCTTGAAGTTTCCCCCTTCTTTGACACAAGACACCCCTTTTGGCATTCCGCCTAGAGACAACCCGCGATCCGAACGACGGCGCCCGGATTTCCGTGTTGCGCGCGCGATACGTAGGTATCCAGTAGCTTAGGGGGTCCTCTGGACACGCCGCGACAAGGCGACGGTTCGGACACCATGGCTTCAAGGTTAGTACCTAACGGTTGATACATCTGCGCCCCTTGCTTCGTACCCTGGCATCACGAGCTTGCGCATACATCTCGATGTCATCTCTTCTGCTTCGGAATCGTTCTGGCGGCCGTCATGGTTCGAGTCCGTCAGCCGAAGCGTTGCGGATGAGACAATGGCGCCTCCCCCGACCAACGTCCTTCAGATCGCCAGACGAGCATGTCACGATGCGACTGCGAAGACCGCCATGGATCACCTACAACACGAAAGAACGTCGATCGAGCTTCTGCTAATGTTCATGCGTGAATGACAGATTCGGCGCGTCCTCGCTCCACCAGCGCGACTCCCGCAGCGCCTTGTTCGAGGGCTACACCGGCGACAACGCAAGGAGGCCAGTCAGTGCCTCGCCATCGCGTCTTGGCGGGTATGGCTATGGCTACGCCGGCGGTAGTGCCTCCCCCGCGCCCACGGGGAGCCACCTCGGCGTCGACAACGGCACCCGGGGGTTCCGCCCGGCGACGCCCAACTCGAGGTACGCTCGCTCCATCGCCGATTGCATGACGGCGAACGCTCCGGATGCGCGAACGATTTGCTGATGGATGTTCATCAGGGGTCAATACAGCGATGCAGTCCTCAACGAGCTCGAGAGCCAGAACGATGAGCAGGTGGAGGGCATCATGGGCAAGGTCAAGATGCTGAAGAGTGTACGTGACATCCTGGCGACAGCCTCCGGCCGGCGCGTCGTGAATTACAAGGCGCAAGACGGTGAACCGGCAGATGCGAGACCAGCCGCTGACGAGACTCTTTAGATGACGGTAGCCATTGGTGACGAGATCCGCGAATCCTCCGCCATCGCCGAGAAGATGAACGACACCTTCGACTCGACCCGGCTGCGCCTTCGCGGCACCATGAACCGCATGCTGGTCATGGCTCAGCGCACCGGCGTGGGCTGGAAGGTCTGGCTCGGCTTCTTCGCTGCTGTCTGCTTCCTCTTCATGTACGTGTGGCTATTCTAAAACTTGAAAGAGTTGGGAATACCAACCCCCCCTATGGGTCGCGGTATGAGGGCTTGACAAAGGTCAATGAGTTAGTTGACCTTGGAAAATGGCATGCTCAGAGACGAAGTTACGGCAAGCGGGAGGAGTTTTGCGAGAGAGACGTTCGGATTACAACCCTGGTCCGCAAGGGCACAGGAAATGGCGTCTTTTCTCGCGAGGTTGAGCTTGATCTTGCATTGCCCAGGGTCGGCCGCGATTGATTGAGCTCGCATCGCTCGGCGTTACTAGGAGTACTTCATTCACAGGCTCTCTTACGTCTCAAACTGTTTATATTCGTCACAGGCACGCAAAGATTGGAAATTGCGAGCAAGAGCGATGCATTTGAACCATTGCCGATGAGAGACGCGACGAAGAGTTCTTAAGAAACTCCCCAAAACGGCAGGCCTTTTGTGTGTCTTGCATGTGTCTACGTTTGAAAGGACGGGAAACGAAATGAAGGACTTTGTTGCCTTTGGCCAGTATAATAAACACTTTTTGTAATAACGGGGTATACCGACTAATGCTACCACTTTTTTTCCGCCCCTCGATAGAGCAGGTTCGTTTTGTTTTTCGGACTTTGTAACTGATACATTACTGTGTCTCCTCCATCCCCGTGATAGGATTGTGAAGAAAGGGGGAGGATTTCTATAAGTGAATATCCACTTCTTGCTCCGTTCGCCTCGTCGTTCGTCGCCATCCGTGATGTGAATTGCTTCGTTGTGTTTCAAAGGGTATCTATCGTTCATGAATCTGTCCTATTCGTCCGTCTCCCCCAGCCTGCAATGTAGGAACGCATCTAACGCCTCTGGGCCCTGACGTTGGGACTGCTATGCAGCATGCTGCTGTCGATCATGCTGCTGTCCGCAGACAGCAGCCCGCTCAGGTCCATGCTGCTCCTGGGTCCGCGCTCCCTCGTTGGGCTCAGCGGCGCCCTCAACGGCGCGGCAACCCTCGGCGCGAAGCTGATGTCCTCGTCGTCCTCCTCGTCGCTGCTGGCCCCGCCGCGTCCGTCGTCGCTGCTGCTGCTCAGGTTCACCTCGGAATCGGTCTGCTCGTACACACCGCTGAGCTCGCCCGCCTCGGGGATGTCGTCGTCCAGGTCCGCGTCCATGTCCATGCCCATGCCCATGTCGTCCTCGTCGCCGGCCGTCAGGAGGTCTTCCTCGTCGAGCATGCGGCCCCCGCCCTCGGCCTCGAGCTCCTCCTCGCCGCCGTAGATGTCCTCGCCATCCGCGTCACCACGGGCCATGGCTTGCCGGTACGCATCATCCGCCATGCGCATGCGCGCCTCGACGAGGTCCTCCCGTCTTTCCTCCTCGTCTTCGTCCCCGCCGCCGCCGCCGGGGCCTTGCGTGGTATCGTCGTCATCCTCCTCCTCAGAAGCTTCCTCGACGCTGCTCGTCATTCCGCTAAGACCATCCTCGTCAGAGTCCTCTCCGCCGTCGAAGCCGAAACTGCCGTCCGCGTCGGGGATCTCGTCATCCAAGTCGCGCGGCTCGTCGTCACCGTCGGGAACCTCGGCGTCCAGGTCCGGACCGAGGTCGTCCCCGCCATCCTCAAGCACATCCTGCCCCGCATCGCCGGCCTCGGCGAGCTCCTGCACGAGCGCCTCGCGACGCATGGCCTCGGCGTGCTCCTTCTGCTCCTTCTCCTCCTCGCGCATCTGGTGCAGCGTCTTGGGGATGCCGGGGGGCTTGAGCCAGCCGCTGCCAAAGTTGCGCACATTCAGCCTGCGCCGGTCCATATACTGCTCGTCGGCGCGTAGGCGCGCGAGGGCGGAGCGCTCGATGAGGAGCTGGCCCGCGCGGCGGGATGACGAGCCATGTTGTTGTGCTTGCTGCTGCTGCTGCTGCTGTTGTTGCGTCTGCTCGCCCGACTGTTCGTGGGCTTCGAGGAGGGCGGCCTGGGCCAGAGGGTTGCGGGACGAGGTGTACCAGATGGAATGCGACTGTTTTGGTTGTCCTCGCGTTAGAAGACGTCACGATGGCGGGGTACCCTTTGGAAGCTTGGTAGAGGGGGGGGGGGGGGGGGGGGGGGGGGGGGGGGAAGCTTACATCTCGTGGTGTCAGGTCGGGTAGGAGGCCGAACATGATGGATACTTTTCTGACCGGCGGGAGGGCGGTCGAGTGTAGGTAGGTTGGGCTCGCCTAGGTTCGTCAACGTCGTTGTGTGCGGGTATCACACATGCTCAGGTGCTGTTGAAAGCGAGCTGTCTCCCCTATTGCGTAGCTATACCTAGCTGCAGGCGCGCCAGAGTGGTTGCGAGTGTAAACATTTGAAAGAGTACGTACTGGCAGCAGCGACGGGGGTTAGGGGACTTACCCCACACTCGCAGACGCGCCGCGCCTAGCGCGCTTGATCCCTGTCGCAAGAGTTCACGATGCTTCACTGTGGGCGGCAGAAAATGTGGTTAACTACGTATTTATTCAACGACGTCCCGTCTCGTCACACGCGGTCTTCACGATGTCTCAACGCGCACGACGAGGTGTGTGTGGCACAAGCCTGGGGAAACTCGTGTCCCCGCCCCTCCTACGACAGCAGCAGCTGCCAGCAGACAAACAGTCGGTCAAAAGGGTGCATCGGCCGTCGCCCACCGCCAAATTGCTTTCGCCTCAATTCCTGACCGAGGCGTCGAGCCTGTCTGCTCTGCCCTGGCCTGGATGCCAGGTTTCACTGAGAGTGAAGTGTCCGTGGTTACCCACGGCGCCTACGTCTCCTTGGGTTCCAATATTTCTAGTTTTTGTGAGGTAACAAAAACAAGGGTCCGGTACCGCTGCCGCCTGGCTCCCGCCTCCCGCCACGGCCCACGAATGCTGCGTTTCTCTCGCATTCTCGACCCATCCGCAGCGGACGGGGAAACGAGGACCAAACGCTCCCTCGCGCCCCGCGACGGACGCTCTGATGTGTCTCATCGGGAAAAGTCGGAACCACCGCTGACATCGGAGTAATTGGCATTGGTTGTGTGTGCTCTAGTGGAGGTTTCAAATGCCATATTTCCGCAAAGTGGGATCTTTTTCCCTTCCTTGCGCGGCCATGGGCTGACTCGAGTGGACACTTTTTTTTTCTGCCGCTTTTTTTCTCTTGCACGTCCCTGCATCAACGGTCTGGACAGTTTGTGGCCGCTCCGATATAGGGCGGTCTGAGAAACCGCAGTCCAAGACCGCTCCGCCAGGGGTTGCATCCGCCCGGCCCTAGTTGGGAGGAACCACCGAGCCGACTTCGGCGGGGCTCTGCTAGCGCTATGGAAATGGTAGAAGTATGCTATGCAGGACATAGGTCCGCTTCCGTTGTCGTGCTCCACATAGCGGTGCGGAATTCGTTCAAAGAAAGCCGTTACCAGAAAAGACGCAGCTATTTCTAATTGCAATTGATCGAGTTGCTGGTCTGACAGTAGCCGGTGACACAGGCCAGGCATTGGGCTAAGTAGGCTCAGTCTGACCATCTTGTTTGACAGCATTTAACGCGGTGTTGATTCGCCCGTGCCGTCATGCCCAAATAATTCGCCGGGGGCGCTGCAGAGACCTGCACCAGGACTGAGGTGGTGAATCCGAGCCTGTGTCATACTTCGAGACCTGAGTTGGAGGGTGGCCTCGAGAGGGCATAGGTGATCAGCCGCTCCCAGCATATTGGGCACATTTACATATGCGTCCATCCAGATCCAGGATGCTAACACGTGCTTGCTGCGAGAGATGATCTGGGAAACCCTAATTGCCTCCCCGAGTTCAAAATTTATCAGTGTCGGAAAATGCCTTTCCGGGTGCGCGTTCTGACAGGCATTCGGCTTATGCACCTCGACAGCATCTGTGACGTAGGAACTGCGTGGCGCCCAGGCGATTCATCACCGAGGCGTGAGTCTCTCGTCTGGCAGCTGTGCCGTCCATGCCTGTGCCTCTCGTCTTCGGCAGGCTAAGCGTTTGATTCCCTGGGACGAGAAAGGCCCCTCTCCTCTCCTCTCCTCCCCTCCAGCTCCAATAGCCAAGAGCGAGAAACGTCTGTGCGTGGACGCCAGCAGGGGTCACACCAGCAGGGAGCTGTGAGATCTCGAACGCCTCCGGCCGGCGGGGTTGCATTTAGCATGGGTGAGACTAGGGGATGCCTAGCTTCGCTGTAGCTCAGATGCAGATGCAACAAGTCGCCATCGTGGTTGGGCCGAGATAAGACGGTTGAAGATGCGGCTACCATTGTGATTGGCCGGCTTCTCCAATTTCACGTTGTCGATTTTTTGACAGCGACCCTTTCTGCTCTGGGCGACAACATCTCTCGATGCTGCACCGCAGTCCGGTCACGCGCCAACTTCGTTTCCTTGGGCTGGATGTGCCCGACGACAACGAGACTTGTTGCCTTATCCGTATGTCACTCTGTGCGGCAAAGGAATACGTTCCATCCATCCATCTCATCTTATTACAGCAAGCCTTCCCTTCGTGCTGCCCTTGACGCATGTGCTCGGTGCTGCCCGCCATTGGCCAGCCTTCCCATTGAACCCGTATTGTTTGCATTTGTGATGCATCTCGTCGGGAATCTCGCTCTTCTGGGCCACGCGCAACGCTGCTTTTCTGACGAGCAGCGCAGGCTTGTCTCTGTCAGAGACCTTGTCCGTACATTCCCGCCACTACCCATGATTGATGACGCCTCCGGCGCTTTTGAGAAATGGGAGAGGTTGCGCTGCTGACCGGTCCCCTGGTTTCCCGTCGGCCTCTGCCGCCGCCCAGCCATCGACACCACCAACTTCCGTAGATCGGAGGGGTTGATAGGCAGAGGATAAACACCATCCATTCTAATTCGCGCTTGATCTTCGGAGTGAAATCGGGACATGCATTCTTGTCGTTCCATGACGCAACGGACTGAGATTATCGGACGTTGCTTGGTGCCTTGAGCCTGCTGCCGCCACCACCGCCAAACGGCGTACGCACAACCGCGAGAGATGGATTGAAGGACCCTAGTCGTACACACTAGGCAAAGCTTTCGGCATCAACGCGCCACCCAGCAGCAGTAGCATGTGCAAGCGCACTTGTAGATGAACGATGTTGTAGTGTACACCCTCACCCCGTATCCCCAAACTCCATCCCCCAAATCACCCGCATCGGTGCTGGATTCGCCCTGGTTCGCTAATAAGGGTCCGGGTCCAATTTCTTGGGGGGTTACTGCGGCCTGTCAGGGGCCCCCAAGCGGAGGCGACATCGGCCAAGGCCTCTTTGAAATGCATCAAGGTGATTGGCCGGTG